GGCCCGCGGGACCCTCCTGCCTGGCCCCTGAGCTCCTGGCCCGGGAGGCTCACTCCCGGCCCCTCCCCCACTGTTTCTCCTCCCCTGCAGCCTCAGCGTGCTGGCGCAATGCTCTGGGGGGGGGGGTTGGATGGGGCGGCAGGGGGCAGTCAGGGGGCAGGGGTTCCGGGGCAGTCAGGGAGAAGGGGTGGTTGGATGAGGCAGCGGTCCCGGAAGGGGCAGTCAGGGAATGAGAGAGGAGGGGTTGGATGGGGCAGCGGGGAGCAGTCGGGGCGGGAGGTCCAGGGGCGGTCAGGGGATAGGGAGAGGATGGATGGGGCAGGGGTAATGGTGGGGGGGGCGATGGGGAACAGGGAGGGTTGAATGGTGCAGGAGTCCCAGGGGGGGCCATCGGGGTGAGAAGCGGGGGAGGGGGAGGTCGGATGGGGGCAGGGGCCAGACCACGCCTGGCTGTTTGGGGAGGCACAGCCTCCCCTAATCGGCCTCCATACAATTTTGAAAACCCGATGTGGCCCTCAGGCCAGAAAGTTTGCCTGCCCCTGATTTAGGAGTGGGTGAAGGGAGCCCTACAAAACATAATGCCTTTACAAAACTAACTTCATTTTTTACTACATTAGGTTTAATAGGTATAATTTCTAATTTAGAAAACAAAAGTGGCACTGTAATACTTAATAAGTAACATAAATGGGGAAATAGATCATTTTGGGAGTTAACCACTTCCTTACTCTGTACTCTGCATAGTTTAGCAGATAAAATAGAAACCACCTCAATGCCAACATTTATATATATAAAAACATAAACTTCACTAAAGTTAGGATCTTAAATAAGTGGCCTGATTTTTCAAAAGTGCTGAGCACCCAGCAGCTCAGTTGTATGTCAGTTTGGGAGAAATCCCTTTAACAGAATAGAAGGGGATTGATAGTAAAGAATATATGGGGATTGGTCCTGCTTTGAGCAAGGGGTTGGACTAGATGATCTCCTGAGGTCCCTTCCAACCCTGATATTCTATGATTCTATGTACTGGGATTTTTTCCCACTGACCGCAAAATGTCGTCATGTGCTCCACGCACATTCATCAGGCAGGACTTTGATCTGCCAGTGAAAAAGATGTTCTCCATTTTTTCATAAGAGATGGATCTGAGCTACAGAGTTCAGATTCTCCAAATACAGCTGTTTGAATCTGAACATCTCTTTTTTCCCCCCACTCCTCTATTCTCTATAGAGCAACATCCAACATAGCTTTTTCTTTTTGATTTTTCTGTTGTCCTAAACATAATTGATGGGGAGTTATCTATGATGTTGGCAAAAGTCTGGTGACAGAGTTTTAGTTAATTTGTGCTCCCTCTTTTGGATGATTGTCACTGTAGCAGCAAAACAATATTTCAGAGTCATTCATTGACAGGAATTACTGTCTCTCTTACAGTTTCTGTAATTATATTTCACTCAGAGCATAAAGTATTGGTCAAGTTTTGAACCTTGGCTTTGTGGTTACATCCCTTTAACTACATGGGGCTCAATCTTGCACGATTTACATGAGTAGTCCAATAGGAGTCAATGCTATGAAGTCAGTTGGACTGCTCACATGGTTAGGGATAACTTTTATTTATAATGCTTACAGGATTCAGTTCTTGACTTATAAAGAAGCTTTAGAGGTGTCAGTATTAGATGTTTGGAAGATCTGCATGTGTTAAACAATCAGTAGAAAATCTTTTCACAATGTTACTTCATTTAAAACAAAAGACATGGTGGGATTTCCAAAGGTTCTGTTTAACTTTCAACAAGAATCTAAGTGAAGATTACCAGTAAAACTAAAAGGTGAAATTTCAAGAGTGTAGTGTGTGAATATGCTGATTCAGCAATTTCAGCAGGCCACATTTGAATTTAAAGACAACTGTGGGAGTGACCAATTGCTTTGCAATGGGGAAGGGGTGATGTAAGATGACACCTTAAAACAGTTCATGTCACTCAGTGGTAGTCTGTTTGGGCAGGTCTCCATTATGAGGTGACACCATTTAAAGGTGTTTTCAGTTGGGTGGAAAAACCGAAATAAAATACAGACTCTAGCTACAGAGAAGCTAGAGTGATGTGGATGAATAAGAGAAACTAAAATTAGAGGTTCTTTATTCAATGTTTTTTTTTCTAGGTTCTACATGGGAGAAAACATTACGACAGTTCGGTTTTGAAAGGTAAGCAGTGAATTTATCTCCTATGCATGTTACAGCTTAAAATACAAACAGAAAAAGAGATGCCTGCACACAAATTGGCAAAGTTATTTACGTTGATTGATCTACATTATCTGGGATGTCAAAGTTAGGGGGAGTGGTATTTAGAGTTACTGGCAGGTTCACAACTTTCATTTTTAACTATATCCTGTGATGATCATGGAGCACAAGGCTCTTTTGTAAATCTGGCTTACAATAATTTCATTTGAGAGCAACGTAATGTACTAGGGTTAAAGTAGGCTTCATAGAGTATTTGGTTTGAAGTCTTACCTCTGAAGGAAGGTATTGCTGCTTTCCTATATTTTTCATAAGACTTCTGAACTATGGCATATTAACTAACAAAAACGAATGAATGTGGAAAAAGAACACGATTGGCAAAGCACTATTTAACATCGTTGAAAAATCCGGAATTCAGCATTCCTGAAGTGCAAAGCCTTCTTTCAGCCAAACATAACCACAAGGTTGTCATACCAGAAACATATGTCTCTCTTGGAACTTAAACTAGGCCAGGCCTTGCTAAAGAGTAATCTGTTCTCAAGCCTGGAAATACTCAGTCCCCTATATGCCCATCTACAAACATGAAGCAGAGTTATTTGCTTCCTGTCCATATAGAGCGTTGATCTTCTGTCTAAACCAAATATTTCTAGACTGCACAAGAGTGTGGTAGGGCAAGGCATGGGGCCACTACGAACTGGAGTAGATATGTATGAGAGAAGGGGAACGTTGTCTTTTAACATTACGCATAGGCTGCCTGGTGCCAAGAACATAGATGGCCTTTTCAAAGCCAGGGTGGCGTTGAGGAGAGGAAAGCCTTTCCTTTTCATTGTCTCCACCTAGTATCATCTTTCTAGCTGCTCTCACTTTTATTGCCTTGTTGCTTAATTTAAACAACTTGCCTTTATTTAAGTTAATGGCTAGTTCATTGAACCAGAATGAAACTATTCTGCACAAGGCATAAATTGGTGCCTTAGAGCTTTTCTATTACAATAGAAAAGCTCTATCTTTAAATTTAAACCTCTCCCTTGATTAAAATCCTCAGACATTAATAACAATAAATGAAAGGCAGCTCTAGTCACTCTTGTCTAAAAGCATTCCACTTGACTAATTTCTCCTGAGCACATAAATTGACTGAACACTGAACCACTGTAGTATCAGCAAATGTAAGGGGTGGATCAATACTACCATTAAAGAACTTGCCCTCAGGACTTCAAGGACAGTATCCCAGAGTCATTGCCCAGGTTTATTCTTAAGGCTCAGCATTAAAAGTTATTTGGAAATAGAGACTCTGAAAGTTGTCCACATATTTCTCTACAGCTTTCATTTTTCTTGAAGTTTACAAAGAACTGATGATACCCTTATTGATCTATTTTTAAAACATAATAATTTTGAAAGCATCTTCATTGTATTAATTTAACGAAATGTTGGCCCATTGTATTTATAATTATAATAATATATGGAGATATCTCCTAGAACTGGAAGGGACCCTGAAAGGTCATTGAGTCCAGCCCCCTGCCTTCACTAGCAGGACCAAGTACTACCACCCATCACTAAATTTTAAAAAATGGGCCAAATTAATCTCTTGGGTAAATCATTTATATTATTATACCTATTATGAGTTTGGCCCAACATTTTTAATCTGCCAAAAATATTGATTGCATTGTCCCATATTTTTAACAGGAGTTAAACAGGAAATGTGGGAGATGAGATGGTCTACTAATAATTTAGTAGGTAAACAATCATTCTGGCCTGCAGAAGTCTCACTTGGCCAACCAACCCTTTAAGGGAAGACCGTCTATGTAATGGTTCAATAAGACTGTGAATTACTTTTTAAACTTTTAGTGAGGATTTTATGCCTCTGAAAAATTAAGAAAAGCATTGGATATGGTGTGTTTCATTTTCTTTTAGAGAGTTGTCATGTCTCGACGTTTGATGAACTCTGTCTTCAGGCCTCAGATCTCAGTATCTTAAAACCCCTTTTTTTCTAACTATATTTAAATTCAAGATTAATGGCTGCCCTTGGTTGCTTTCTAAATCTTCCTCCTGTGGATGTATTGCTCAGAATAGAGAAATAGCTTGCTGACTGAGTTTAAAAAAAAAAAAGTACTTGAGGAGCAGAGTCCTGGAAATAATTATCGAGATAGGAAGAGAATTCTGTGGCCTATCTTCTTCAGACTGCTTTTTCCCATCCTCCTGTCTATGCTAGACTCCAGAAAGAGACAATTCAGCACATATTATGCCAGTGAATGGATCAGAGTTTTAGAGCTTGTTTTCCATTGCAGAAAAGGTCTTAGAAAAATGTGCACACTTTTATTTCAGAGCTTCTCAAAAGTCAGAAACACTCAGACTTGTTTTGATCTGAAAACCATCCAGGATTTCATTCCAGGATGGATCATACCATGAAAAAATTTAAAAATCTCTGTCCATTCATTTTCATGTGGTCATTTGGCCTAATTCTTCAGTTTTCTAGAATCACTTACAAGAACCTTAAGTGTAATGCAGTACATTGGACCTTTTTGTAGTGTGGAGATCATTCTGGTTTTAACATTACTTAAATTATAATTATAATTCCCTTTTATTATATTCTGAGGCTTTAGTTTATCATCATTCATTAAAATCATTCAGGCTTTCAGTTAAGTTCATGAATTAGATCTGAAGTTCATTATTTGTGACATCTGACAGGATCTTGTCCATGTATAGGCAGACTGTTTGTTTTTACAGCGTAGTAAGTCTGGAAGATATAAAACACATTGGTCTGTTACAGAAATTATGCATTTTCAGTTGTTAGGACTCAGAGCATTGGGTGCATCTTTTCTGTAGGGTTCTGCTGTTCTTCCCACAAGTTAAATCTAATTTTATTTCTTAAAAGGCTTTTTATTTAGCATGATATTCAGTCTATGGTGCAAAACAGGGAAATACTGACTCTTTCATTGCTACAGTTTTCTTTAAAGTTTATCACTTGCTGCTGCTATTTTCCCAAATCATGCCAAAGTGGGAAAATGGTAATTTCAACTAAAGATAAAATGTATGGCAGGCTCGAACCTGTCAAGGATTAGAAATACAAAGGGCACAGTAATATAGATTATTTATTTTAGGTTTTACGTATAGTGCTCATTAGAAGATGCTAGTATTTAGAAAAGATTACTATCTTGTCAGTAGGTGTAGTCACGGAGAAAAGGACTTGTGGAAGACATCAGCAATCTAATAATAATAATAGTCTTCTGTATATTTCATGAAATAAGAGCCTCAAAGCATTCAGTTGGAATGGATAGTGGATTTTGGAAAATAAAATCCATTCTGATCATTCCAATTGTAGACAAGATACTAACATGCTCTCATTTGTTCAACAGTACACAATTCTCACTGTAGAAAATGGCCTTGTGAAGAATCTGAATATGTTTGTGTATGCCAGGAAATTAGGTGTTCTCTTAGGGCAACATTTGTATTTCAGTTACACTGAATTAATTAAATAATTTAATTGAATAATTTAATTGAAGCCAATGTATTTGGTCCTTGATGTCACATCCACATGCAGGAATTTTCTCTCTGTCAGTTCAGATGGGCATGGAAGAACAAAACAACCTCTTCCCCCAATTCTTAAATGAATTGAACATTTAAGCCAGTTTTGTTCAACAGAATCTCCATACTTTTTCCTGGTGTTTTCAAACAGTCTTCTTTATATGACTTTCTTGATTTTATGAACATCAGGTGTTCTTACGGGAAACTAGCTCATATTTTATTAAGTGATCTGTCAGAAACATACTTTGGAGGTTCAGTGTTTGTTTTTTGTAAGCAATGTCTTGGTTTTGAAGTTTTTCATTGTTTAAAACAGCAGTATACTCCTATGAACAGTGCTTCCCGAAATAGGCAAAGGGAGAATCAGGTACTGGGGTACACCACATTGTAAACAATCTTTTGATGCCTGTAGTACCCATAGCTTGAATTGTAAATAGGAAAGAGATATGAATACAGAGAGGAGAAAAGGCCTTCACTGTTTGCAAGCACATCCCTCACAAGGTGTGGACTAAGGTGTAAAGCTGTGTAGATGCACTGACATTGGCACAGATAAGAGTTTGCTTTTCTCAGAATGCAGGCAGGTTTTAAGATGTATGGGGGAAGGTCAGTCCTCAGAGTCATGGCTTTAAGAAGGCTAGACCAGTACTTAAAGTATGGGAAACCTGTATGGAAAGAAGAATGTAGGTCCCTTTCTTACGGGGACATTTCAGATTAGCTTGATTGACAGAAGGAAATGAAGATACTGTGTATACATTTCAGGAAATAGGCCCTGATAATATACAGTGCATGTCATTGTTACTTTGTGGTTACATGATGTTTACTCTGCAGTTGAGTATTTACATTGCTGTTGTATTTGTATCGTGCAAAACAAAGAGACACCAAGAGATCTGGTTGTCTGAGCCTTTATGTAAGCACTCCTTGTGAGTCCAACATGCTGCTTTTTAGCATGAGATAAATTAAAAATGCCGGAGCTTAAGTAAAGTAGCTTTATATCCAGGAAATGACTAGAGTTAAGAGCCTTTCAATTAAATGGAGTGTATCTGGGTTTGACAGATTTAAATGAAGCTCTTATTGTTATTGATTGGGTTTTTTTTTGAGCCATTACAAGTAAGATAATTGCAACATACTATAGTAGCCGTCACCTTTATTGAAATCTATACAGACTACAACATCTGTGCATTTGGATAAATTAGATGTAAAAATGTTTCATTTTATACCTCCATCATAATGAGAATACATTAAAATGTTGAGCTTATTTGTTTACATGTAATGTAACCTCTTTCTAGTCTTTTAGTGCTAATAACTAAAGGTTGCTGTATGATGAGAAAAAACCCCAAACAAATGGATAAATATGTTTGTGGATAAATAGGCTGACTTTACTCCACTGCTGTTTGAGGGGTTGTGGTGTTCATAATTTGAGAGTACTCCAATAACCACCAAATACTTGTGAA